TTACGACCTGCTGACAATTTTGCAGTTTTTTGGTCCATTTCAACCCCTAAATATATGGCGATCATCTCCAAAAAGAGTAGGCTTCTATTCTGACCCTCATCTTATCCCCATGCAAAATTTCGTAAGGATCGGGCCATAAATGCGATCTGTATATGATATCCTGATATCCTAACTACTTAGTTTTGTTAGCTGTAGAAATATTACCAAATTTATAATTCAAAATGAAAATATGCCAAAAATATGACAAAATGGAAAAAATATGAGAAAATGTTACAAAATCAATATTTTCATCTATAGAGAGATATTTTTATGCGATTTTTTTAGACGTTTTTTCTTTCCTGCCAAGAGGCCATTCTGAATTAATGAGAACTGTCGAAATCAGTTCAGCCGTTCTCGACATATAAGAGATCTTTCAAGCATATCCTCTTTGATAGACATATACATATATCAAACATATTTTGCTATATATCCGATTTGTTGGATGTTAACATCAATGTAAAGGTCAGAAGTAACCTTGTCATGGCTTTGTGATTTCGCCGGTATTTAAAATATTCGCGGTTTAATGAAAAATTTTGATTTTTTTCAAAACAAAAGATATGGTCTATTTTACCCGCTAAATATTATCCGATGACCACCCAAATTGGTAGGCTTCTTCCCCGCCCTAAACTCTAGCTACATCGATTGGTCTATAATTGCGACTTGTATAGCTACTGCAAAATCCGACAATTTTTCAGTATTTGGTCCATTTCAACCCCTAAACATTTGGCGATCATCTCCAAAAGAAATAGGCTTCTATTCTGACCCTAACCCCATCTTCGTGCAAAATTTCGTAAGGATCGGGCCATAATTGCGACCTGTAGCGTGATTACAAATTAACATGGACAGACGGATAGACGGACGGACGGACATACATAGCTAGATCGACTCAGCTCGGCGAGCTAGGAAGATCCATATATACTTTCCTATATGGGAAACCAATATTTCGAGGTGTTACATAAATTCTGGCCCAATCAAACTTATAATACCCCCAACTCATAGTGTTGTAGGGTATAAAAATAAACGAACAAAATTTGGCATAATATTTATTAGATACCAGCTGTTATAATAGAGGAACAACAAAATAATGATCAAAGGTGTTCCAACCAAGCCATGCACATACAAACGTTTTAAATTAAGTTTGACACCTAATTAATTGTTGCCAAACTGCTATTAAATTACTTATCCATAACATGGAGGTTATACCAAGTTCATCATTCCGTTTGTAGCTTATCGAAGTAATAATTTTAGACATTATAAAATGCATATATATTCACGATCGGAGTAAAATTCTAATCCGATTTAGCTATTTCCATCCGCCTGTTGTAACCGCACAACCTTCCGAAGGAAGATTAATATAAGAGGATAGCGATCATCGGCTGTTATGGCGGCCCACACCATCACCATGGCCGCCGCTTGAGTTCTGGTATCCAACCGAAGGTGCACATTTTCAGCTGACCTCTTTGGCAAGTAAACACAATCATTTTGTTTGTTTACAAACTGCTGCACAACGAACGTTTTCTCATCGGAGAAAACCAAATTTGGCAGTTCACAACTTTCGGCCAAGCGAATCAACTCTTTAGCTCTTTTGAGTCTATTTTCTGTCTCTTGCGGTGTTAGTTCTTGCACTTTTTTGGAATTTCAATGGCTTTAACCCGAGCTCATTTGTCAATATTTGCCGAATGGAATATTGCGATATGTTCAGCTCACGAGCCATTTTTCGGCTATTGCGACGCGGGTAGCAAGTCGATCAAGTCGCTTCTTTACTTTTCGAACCATTTCTGCTGATGTTGCTGTTTTCTTCCGTCCACTTCCTTGACGTCGGGTTACGCTACCCGTATCACGGATTTATTCACATTTAAATGCTGTAGTGCTCTAACGATAGCCACTTGTGATTTTCCAGCCAAATATAAAGAAATCACATTATCACGCTTGAATTCCATCACGAATAACTTTTTTTCTGGAAAATTCACGCCAAAGTGCTTTTGTACGCTTGTAAACATTATAATGAGCTGTCACTGGAATAATTTTAACAGCTAACGGACGAGTGACTTAGAAATGACAGCAGTCTGAAGTTGATTGCAGTTTTTTTTTCATTTCACCCTGTACACATGTCTATGAACGTAAAAGTGTAGTGAAGTAGCTGACTAACTGCCTGACGAAAATCAACGTCCAGAAGAAACGGCTGAAGCTAGAATTTTGAAATTTTATACAAGGAAGAGGCTGAGTTTTTGAAAACTCGTACTAAAAGGGTACGTAAAGTACTGCAATTTACTAAAAATTTAATACTTTGTATCGTACAAACGGAATTAGATAGAATTCTGAAATTTTAAATGAGACACTGATTGAGTGCAGGATAGATGTACCAAAGGGTTTTTAGAAATTTCATTACGAAAAGTTCTAACAGGGTACTAAACTTTAAAAATGGTATGTGAGTGAATAGGGCTAAAAACTTAAAATTTGGTATGTTTGTTGGCTGATTTTGGATATGTGTACGAATATTACTAAATGATACTAAATTTGGTACAATTTCGAACTGTGTGATCAAATAGTGATTGCAGTTTAAAATTTTGTATTAGAGTCGCTGTTTATCTGTAGCCTTAAACTATGTAGATGATTTTGGAAATGTGTATTACAATTGTACGAAAAGTGCTAAATGGTACCAAATTTGGTATTGGGTAAAAGAATAGTGATAAAATCCTGAAATTTAATATTTAGATAACTGATGGTATCTGAAATTGGGATTTGGCGGTGGTATGAAAATGCGCTTCTGCGAAAAGTACTAAATGGTACTAAATTTGGTATTAAGGGAAGGGATAGAGCTGAAATCCTAAAATTTGATAAAGATGTCACTATTGGTGTCTGTGGTTTACATGTGGAGGTGGTTTTGGAAATGTTGTTGTTTGAAAAGTACTAAGCGCTACTAAATTGTGTATTGGATGAAGGAATGGAGCAGAAATCTCGATATTTGTTATTGTTGCCTCTTTTTTCTTCTGGGATGTGGTTTTGGGAATGTTTCTTATATTTTTTTACAAAAGGTACTAAATGTTACTAAATTTGGTATTGGTATAAATAAAATCCTGAAATTTTATATTTGCATTACTCTGTCATAGATTTGGCGGTGGTTTGTAAATGCGTCCTATATTTGTGCGAAAAAGTACTAAATGGCACTAAATTTGGCATTGGGTGAAGGAATAGAGCTGAAGTCCAAAAATTTGATAAAGATGTCACTACTGGTGTCTGTGGTTAAGATGGAGGTGGTTTTGGAAATGTGTACTATAATTCTTCTAAATGGTACTAAATTGGTTAGTTAATGAAGGAATAGTGCTGATATCCCGATATTTGATTTTGAGGTCTCTTTTTGTATCTGGAATTGAGATATGGAACGTGTTTTGGACTGTACGAAAAGTGTGGTAATAAATTTGGGATTGGGTCTTAGGATAGAGCTGGAATTCTGATATTTGATTTGGAGGGGGTGGATTTAAATTTGTCATTAAGTAAATGTGTATAGCTTGAATCTTAAAATGTGATATTGAGGTCAAATTTGGTATTGATTTCTAGGATTTAGATATGTTGGTGGCCAACTTTTATTGTGAAAAGACGTTAAAATAGTTTTGGATAGAAAAACCACAAATCCATTTCCAATTCAATGCCAAATCTCAAACACATATACCACAAGTTATCTAATATCAAATTCCAGAATTTTATCTCTATCACTTCAACCAATACCAAATATAATATAATTTAGTACTTTTCGTACAGTTATAGTACACATTTCCAAGACCAACTTCATATCTCAACCACAGACACCAACAGTGACATCGTTATCAAATTTCAGGATTTCAGCTCTATTCCATCATCTAATACCAACTTTAGTACTATTCAGTACGTTTCGTACTTTAGTTCACATTTCCGAAACCACATCCTTATGTCCAGGCTACACATGAACTGCGACCCTAAACTCAAGTTTCTGATTTCAAGCACTATCTGTAAACTTAATACCAAATATTGTACTATTTAGTACTTTTCGTACACTTAGAGTACATATTTCCAAAACCAATAACCTACCACCAACAGGGATCCCTATACAAAATTTCAAAATGCCAGCTTCATCCATTCATCCTAAATCAAATTTAGTACTATTTAGTACAGTGTGCTCAATTAGTACTCATTTTCAAAACCACATTCATCTATCAATCTTTTTCAACATTGATTCCCAAATCAAATTGTTGAGATTTTAGCTCTATCCTTTCACATAATACCAAATGGTACCATTTAGGAAGTTTAGTACCATTTTAGAACTTATCTTCATTTTTAAGTTTTCAAAAACCCTATCCTGCTTTCCATCAGTCACACTCATTGCAAATTCTAGCTCACTCCATTTGTCCAATTCAAAGTATTCAGTTTTTAGTACATCTTAGTACTTTTCGTACCCTTTTAATACATATTTCCAAAAACCCAACCTTATCACACGCCTACGCACCAAGACTGACCCTCGTGGAGAATTTCTTCAATTTAATTGCAATTCTAGCTTCAGCTGGGCGTTGATCTTCGGTCAGTCAGTTATTTCACTACTCCTTTATCCAAATGGAGATAGATCGCCTTTAAGAACTCATGTAACTTTTACTAAAAAATGTTCTTTTTGATTTGTTCTCACGTTAAAAACACCATGGTACGGTCCAATCTAAACACTGTATGAGTCTTTCTCCTAAGATTTTCCTCACAAATCTAGAACTCTATCCATACTACAATGGGAAATCACGAATTTGACTCTTATATGCCACGAATATCACATTCCATTCTAGGCATTCAATTTTTTTACAAAATAAGAAATCGTTTTTAATTATTTTTCAATATTCCCCTACTGTTCGATGATCATAGAAATTAAAAGTTATTTTGTGAAATATGCTGGCGAAATGTCAATACATTTCCGCTTCAAAATGTCAATGTTTTGTTTTGATTACCTGTTTAGGGAAACCGTTGGGAATTTCACTTTTTCGCTTTTAATTTCGAACGAAATGTTTTACGTTTATTGTTCCGTAGCTACGGTTTTTCTTTTGTTTTCTTCAATTACTTCGATAACAAATAAATCGTTTGTTCTAACAAGAAAAAATTGTTGGAAATTATTTCGGCGTAATTGAAAATTAGATTGGATGGTTTCAAAAAAAACCTTGTTAAAATCACAACAACAATGTTGTTATTTTGTTATTATTTTTTTGCAATGGTTGTTTTTGTTTTTATTTTTCAAAAAATGTAAACTAGAATGAATGAAATACGATTTAAATGTTTGTTGTTTAACTGCTTTTTTTTATTGGTTGTTGTTTTGTTGTTGCTGTTATTATTGTTATTTTAGTCAGTTAAGCGATCACCGGTGTGTTGTGTTTAGCGTTAAGGCACCAACTGTTCTATGGGCTTTGCCGTTACAACGATGCGACCTAAACCCAGTCAAGTGAATACCAGCTGAGAGTTATTGGCGGGCGATATTAGTCACACAAAATCTCCTGGCTGGTAGATGTTGCCGCCCGAAAGCTAGCTGAAGCTAAAGGTGTAGCAACATTTTGCAAAAACACTCTCCCATGAGCGATGAACTTCAAAATCAACTCAAAACCAATTATTAGATAAATTCTAAGAATTTTCAAAATTTTTGAAACGAAATATTTGTGCATGCCAATACATTTATTGCCTTTGTTTTTTAATGGCTTGCTTGTGTTTTTTTTATTTGGCCAAGAAGTTTATGCTATCAAATTGCGATTTTAAATTTCTTTGACCGCAAATGGAAAAAGGTTATTTCTTTTAATCTGCACAACACAACGATAAAGTTTTACAATTGGATTTTGTGGAAATTCTAAAGTTAGCTTATCACATGTTTGCATTTTGACATTGGCATATCCAGTCAATGGCATTTAATTTTTATACCCTACATTATGACAAAAAGAAGGTTGGCTGTGATGTTTGTTTGTGAAGACAATGCAGATTGCATTTATTGGCCAATTGAGATGTTTTGTCGTTTTTATACCCTCCACCATAGCATGGAGGGAATATTAAGTTTGTCATTCCATTTTAGACCCCACAAAGTATATATATTCTTGATCAGCATAAAATTCTTTGTCGATTTAGCGATGTCCGTTCGTCTGTGGAAATCACTTTAGCTTCCGAACGAATTGAGGTAGACTGATAAAATTTCACTCAAATGTATATTATGTCTGCAGGACTTTTGGTATTAAAAATGGGCCATATAGGTCCAAGATTTTGTATAGGCCCCATATAACGGTACCTCCCGATATTCAGTATTTTGATGATTTTAACGACAATATTCATCGGAATTCTTTCAAATGTGGTATTTGATGTTCGTAATGGATGCTACAGCCTATGACAGGAGATTGTATGTGCAGGTCCACGTCTTCCTATAGCCGCCATATAACGGTACCCTCCGATATTCGGTATTTTGATGATCTTAGCGATATTTTTCACCGGAATTGTTTCAAATTTGGTATTTGAAGTTCGTAATGGATACTACAGCCTAACACAGAAAATTGTCTGTGCAGGTCCACGTCTTCGTATAGCCTCCATATAACGGTACCTGACAATATTCGGTATTTTCATGATTTTAGTGACATTATTCATCGGAGTAGTTTCAAATTAGGTATTTAGAGTTCGTAATGGATGCTACAGTCTGTGAAAGACAATTGTCTGTGCAGGTCCAGGTCTTCGTATAGCTCCGATATAACGGTACCTCCCTTTATACGGTATTTTGATGTTGTTAACTACATTATTCACCGTTTATTTCATGTTTCGAATTTGAATATGGTAATGGCTTATGATAAACAATGCCTATGTAGGTCCACGTCTTCGTATAAACCCCAATTTTAAAATTTTAACAGAATTTGTAACGGATTTTATTTGTTTAAACTTTCCAATTTCGTTCCAAATGGCTGAGGGCATTTAAAGTTCGGCCCGGCCTTTTTAACTTGTTTTAATTGAGCACTAATTATGTTATTATTTAAATGCCGTTTCTGGTACCGATAAATGATATAGTAGCAGTCGCTTTTGACCACAGATGTATTCCCTCCGTCTGTATCTGTTTATTTGAATATACTCTGATTTGGGTTATGATTTCTCACAATATTGAACCTTTATAGGTGAGGTACCAAAGAGGTTGTTCAATTTCATTCATTTTTAAATAAAATTGATAAAAAGTTATCGCAATACAAAATTTTACGGTTTCAGTTCTAATCCTTCACCCTGTACCAAATTTAGTTAAATTTAGGACTTTTCGTACATTTAAACTACACACTTCCAAAACCACCTCCATATCTCAACCTCAGATACCAACAGTGACCCTAATACAATTCTAAATACCAACAGAGGCCTCAATATGGAATTTCAGGATTTTAGCCCTATCTCCTAAGCCAATGACCAATTAAGTACCACTTAGTACTTTTCGAACAATTATAGTACACATTTGCACAAACACTTCCATAATGTAACATCAGACACCAACAGTGAAATCTATATTATACTCCAGGATTTCAGCTCTTTCCCTTCACCCAATACCAAAATTAGTACCATTTAGTACTTTTCGTTTAATTATAGTATACATTTCCAAAACTACATCCATATCATAATTCCAGAAACCAACAGTAACATCTATATCAAATTTTAGGATTTTAGCTCTATTCCTTAATACCACTCAGTACTTTTCGAACAAATATGGGACACATTTCCAAAAACACGTCCATATCTTAACCACAGACACCAAAAGTGACATCTGCATAACATTTCAGGATTTAGGCTTCATTCCTCCACCCAATACCCAATTTAGTTCCACTTAGAACTAGTATTGTACGAAAGTACAATTATAGTGCACATTTCCAAAAGCACCACCTTACCTCAATTCCAGATGCCAGCGCAGAACTCAATATCAAATTTCGATATTCCAGCCCTATCACTTCACGAAATGTCAAATTTAGTACCATTTAGTATTTGTCGTACAAATTTAGGACGAATTTCCAAGCCACAACCAAATCCCAAACACTGATGGTATCCCAATCTCAAATTTCAGAATTGTAGTTCAATCCCTCCACAATACAAACTCGGTACCATTCAGTACTTTTCGCACTATTATAGTACATATTTCTTAAACCACTTCCATATCTCAACACCAGATAACAACAGGGAGCTCAATATCAAATTTCAAGATTTCAGTTCTATGCCTTCACCCCATACCAAATTAAGTACTATTTTATACTTTTCCTACAATTTTAGTGTACATTTCCAAAATCACCTCCATATCTCAATTCTAAACACCGAAAGTGACATCTATATCAAATTTCTGGATTCTAAACCCTATACCTTCACCCAATACCAAATTTAGTACCATTTAGTACTATGCGTACAGGGTTGCCCATATTCGACGGACCCATCTGGCAACGCCATAACTTTTGACAGAGATGTCACATCCCTCAATGACATACCGCGTTTGAAGCGTCAGTCCAAGCAGATTTTTACCATGAACCAATACACGCCACGCGAGCGCTCTGAAATTTACATTCAACAGAAGAAGTCAATTGTGAAAACTCAACGTGCTTTTAAAACATTAAAAAATGTGAGAAGTGCGCCTTCTAAGAACACAATTAAGCGTTTATACGAACAATTTTCGACTGGTAAGGCTCTTTCTAATCCGAAGAGGCCATATAAAAGTCGACCAAGACGATCGGCCGAGAATATCGCTGCCGTACGAGCCAGTGTTGAGAGGTCCCCAAGAACATCCTAAAAACGCCGTTCTCAGCAGTTGGGCATGGCTCGGTCCACTTTACAACGGATTATTCGCATTGATTTGCATTTGTTCCCGTACAAAATTCAATTGACGCAAAGAATTTTGCCTGCGGACAAGCCTCGTCGATTGGAATGGGTCCAAAGGGCCCAAAGGTCCGTCGAATATGGGCAACCCTATACAAATATAGGACGCATTTCCAAACCACCGCCAAACCTGAAACACAGATACCATCGGTAATTTAAATATGAAATTTTAGAATTCCAGCTTTATCTCTTTACCGAATACCAAATATGGTACCATTTAGAGTTTTTCGTGCCAAAATAGTAGATATTTTTGACCCACTTCCATATGTTCAGGCTACACATGAACCGCGACGATAATACCAAATTTCAAATTTCAAGCACTATCTGTTCACCCTATATCAAATGGTATCAATTATACTACTATTTAGTACTGTTTGTGCACTTATAGTATCTATTTCGAAAACCACCTCTTTATCACAAACAAACAACAACGGGGGCATTATCATCAAATTTCAGGATTCCAGGCCTATCCCTTCACCTAATACCAAATTTAGTATCATTTAGTACTGTTCGTACAAATATAGGACGCCTTTACAAGTCATCGCCAAATCACAGATTGCATCGGTAATCTAAAAAGCAAATTTCAGAATTTTATCTCCATCCCTTCACCCAATACCAAATTTAGTGAATTTTGTACTCATGAAGCGATCGTGATACCAAATTTTACATGTCAATCACTATCTGTTCACTTTATACCAAATTGTACCGTGCGCTTGTAGTATATATGTAAAAAAACCACATCTTCTTTCCAAACCTACCACCAACAGGGATCCCAATACAAATTTTGAACATTTTAGCTACATATGTTCACCCTAACCCAAGCTATTGAAAATTTGTTTAGCAGCATTTAGAACATTTCCTAAGTTTAAAATTCGAATTTCCAATAACCTTTTGGTGCACCTATCCTGCACTCCATCAGTGACTTTCATTCCAAATTTTAGAATCCCAGCTTCATCGGTTCATCACAATTCCAATTTGTATAAAATTTAGTAGCATTTAGTACTCATAAGTTCGAATTTCCAAAGCTTCCAACATACCCCAATCCTACACTCCCACAGTAATCCAAATTCCAAATTTTAGGGTTCGCCCAAATACAAATTGCACTTTATTTAGTACTATTTGTCTCACCCAAATCCAAATTGTACCAAATTAAGTACGCTTGGGTAGAAATTTTTTTATTTTCAATCTTATTTTCAAATTTCAGGATTCCCACTTTACCGGTTCACCGAAAATTTAAACTATACTAGTTTAGCACCATATAGTACACATAAATACGAATTTCCAAAACTACTTACATACCTCTGCTCTACAATGCAATAGTAATCTTATTTCTAAATTTCATAATTCCTACTATATTTGTTCTCCCAAAATTGAAATGGTACTTAATATAGTACCATTAAATACATATAAGTACGAATTTTCAAAACTACTAATATTCATCAGTCCTAGAAGTCTAATAGTCTTATTTCAAAATATCAGAATTCCAGCACTATCGGTTCAACCAGATCAAAATTGTGCCAAATTTAGTACCATTTAGTACTTTTCGTGTACATA